GAGGCCATACTTTAATCTTAAAAGAGCCTTTAAAATGCCTCGTCAGATATTACCACGGGTACAGGTATGCTGCTTCCTTATTGATATCTTCCACCACAGAACATAAACCATTCAAAGTAATATTACTAGAAGTTGATTCAAATTATATTAAGATAAAATAGTTGAAAATAATGTGACTAATTGAATTAAAAACCTCATACTTTTTGAAGACGATAATTATAGTACTCTTATGCATTATTTATTAATGAATTAAAATGTAACTTACAGTACTTGTAGTACTTTCTGATGTAATTTCCTTGCGTATTTAATAGCTCGTTTTTAATTAAAGAGTGTTCGATTTCCATTCATTCATAACAACAAATTTCAATTAGACCTAATCGTTATATAAAAGCAGGGAAATTCAGGACACATTTGCTTACTCGCATAGTATACTCACGTACTCATACAATGTTATGACTGAGCCATATACTATGCAATATGTCATCCGGGAAAGGACCCGAGTATTTCATGGAGTGCCGGTTAATACAACTCCGTATTGCTTATTACACTAAGTGCCCATAAATTTTCTTTCGCTAGTTGGAATTTACAGCACGTTATATAAAATACTTTTTTCGATACACCGTTGTGTTTGAATTCTTTAATATATATTACAATATATATACCGATTCACTATAAAATAACTTGATGTAAACAGTTGGTATTTATTAAATAATATCTTTAATTAATATTTTTCAGTTTGTAAGACGTAGCTTGAAGAATTTCATTCTCTAGAGGTTTAGAGATGCGAGGAGAGGACCGTTCTCCAGAAGTAGCAAACTAATTAGACTATTTAAACTAGTTAAAGAAGAATGTATGTTCTGACTTCTTTTTTATACTACGATAGTTACCATGAAGCATACCGCCCGTCTGATGGTACATTGTGATCGGACACCTGACATCAAAGGTGTCATTTGCACGTTGTACACAATTTAGAATACAATGACTTAAATCTCGTAATTGTAATTTATATATTGGATATTAAATATGGGAGTGGAAAGAAGTAGTTTATTATAGCAGCATTATTTCACACTGTACAATAAACATTAAACACTAATCAGTTTCAACAAAAAAATTGATTTACTGCTTTTAAGTAAAATGTCTGTAATTTTTTCTAAAATTTATTGCCCTGCCCTAAATGTAAATAAAATAACTAATTCTATATTGTGACTAAGTTATTAAGAACAAGACTTAACACTCATCTTTTTATGTTTGCATATGAATTGTCTTTTATATATACCATATCTTCTCAACTCTTTCAACTTCATTATAAGTCAAAACATAACAAATGCATAGGGTTTAGTAGATATTTAAATAAGAATTCTATTTTAGTTCATGTTCTTAGCTAGATTATGAGTGACAGAGCGATATATTGTGAGACGACTATAAACTGTCAAAAGTTTCTCGAATCTCGCTGCTTGCGTTGGCAAACTATAGACATCATGGAGGTTATAACTGTCAAAGTTATTATTGCTACGTTTCTGTTACAAAACGGCCCGGTTCACTCACAACTGCTGGTTTATTCAATGACAAAATGAATTTAATTAAAGTTAGCTCGACATTGATCTCACAAACGGTACCCAATCGCGAATGTCAGAATCGTTAATTGAAGAACTTTTTGGCTACAAAAATGTTTTGAAAATATAATTTTATTTTTTGGAGACGAATTATTATTGGTTGATGAAATGGTATAACTTGTGGAAACGCAATATTCTATGAAAAACAAAAATGTTTTGAATATTATCTACCAATTTTTTCTACATTTCTATTCTGTTAATTTATATCTACTTTTGAAATTAAACCAGAGTAATATTATTGATTGTCATTCGTTCTACAAGATAGAAGAGGAAACAGTAATCAGTGACAAATATTTTACTGCCTTGCTTCTCCAAGGTAATAGGACGGTTGTTTTCCAACGATGTCATATAATCATACAATGCCCATAACACTATGTTTGTGCATAGGTTGTATATAACAAGTAATTACTGTAACGTCAATGTTACTATTATGTAGGAAGCACTAAGGTACCTTGCCTTTTGTAAAGATATTAAATATGAAAATAATAGGTACCTACTTATAAAAGTAAAGTGAAAAATTACGTTTTATGCCCTAAACATTTTTGGTGGATACCATCCATCGGAAAGTTTTAAATAAGACTTAAAATAAAGGTAAGCGAGACTTGGAAACATAATCGAAGTGAACTAGAACTACGGAGGCGATTCTCGTGGGATTCTGGTGAATGTATTCCATCCAGCTCTTTGCCAATGCTACTTTTGTTATGTAGATGTTTATTTGACGCGACTGCTTTGTACTTTTTTTTAATAATTTTCGATCGTTATCATAATAATGCATTTAATCTTTTAGCGAAACACCTCGGCATTGAATGGATGTCCAGTACATAAACAATATGAACGTTCTAAAAAAAAGGTGACAGTATGAATATACTTTGGCCGGTTTGAAATTAAAAATAAGTTAGACGATAAAAACGACTTTGCTTTATTTGTTACGATAACATCTCATATTAATTTTACACTATTTAGTATGTAGGTAATATGTAGAGAGAGCCGGGATGTCTTCATCAACTGTTGTCGTGAACTAATAAAGGATAGGATAAAAATATAATTTGCGATAAATCCTTACTGTTTACTTAAAAACTTAAAATTGACAATATACTAAAATATGCCTATATGGCCTAGATATAAATGACGTGTCATTAGTTATAATTATTGATTATTCTTTTTTATACACATAAATATAGAAATAATGCTCCAACAAGCGATGCTTTTAATTTTGATGGATGAGGTTATTGACCTATCTATCCATAGATTTGAGCTTTATTATCAAATTTTATACGGCCTTACAGCAAAATTCCATTTGGCCGGCCGACTAAATGAATTCCACAAACGATTTACGGTAGCTCTTTGAACCATGAAACATTTACAAAATTAAGAAGGTGACGTTATGGTATAAGGAATATATGTATATGCTCATCTGGAATTTCAAATGACTATGTTTAGACGTTAGATAATATGTAGATTTATAAATCGAGGATGGGTTACGTGGTCTAAGATGTTAAATCATAATAAGAAAAAAATATTATGAGAGAGAATAAGAAAAAAATATTACATAGAACAGCACTATCGCCAACATTCTACAACGTTCTTCAACTATGATCATTATTCTATTTATTTTTTATTCTTTCATTGAGTTTTATTAATAACAAATGAGGGAAAATACTATATATGAATATATAAATTCACACGCTAGATCCAAATTTCAGTGCCTTGTTTTATATGTAACCCATGTGCAATCTACAAATTATTTAATATACATTGTTATTATCAAATAACAGAAAAGTATACCAATATAAATTCCTCATGTATCTTAGACCATTAGTATTGGCATAGAATAAATATTACTAACAACCTGCTTCTGTAGGATGCTTTATAATTAATTTATGATTATTATGATTTATTATTTTGTTACAGTAGTGAATACAATAAACAATATACAAATACAAAAAACGGAACTGTTTAACATCGATATACCTACAATAAGGTTACAATATTTCCTCCATCCTAATACAGGTCTCAGTTTTTGGTCACTCAAAGTACGTAGAAAAGGGACCAAACCGGCGTTTCCCTTTACCTTCGTGTCATAAAACACCAGAATAACAGCGGTGCAGAATGTTACAATCAAGTTTCATTGAGATACAGACCTTTTTTGTTGGCGAAACATTTGTATTTTGTATTGCGCAGGTGTCCCAACCTTTTGATTTTCTAGTTGATTCTAGCTGTCTATCGCTATGTTAGAGAATTATGGACTTAACGAATAAAAAATATAAAATCCGCATATCGTACAATACCATGAAAAAAACATAATAATACGAGTACATAGTGTTAATTGTGTTTTAATTTTATTTAGTTACATTTCTTCATTCTCTTGTGAAACAACTCAGAGAGCTTAATAAATTATTGACTTGATGGAAAGTAGAGACAATTATATTTTATAATATAAATACATAATTTAATATACACCCCTGTGTATATTAAATTATATATTTCGATCGTTTATATATACCGACCTAAATACTAATAAAATCAGTATGTAAGTCATCACTTCATATATATAATAAGTATATATGTCAGTTGTTCGTTTCGTAAAGACGTTCAAGTTGAATACAGTAATATCTCTTATTAAATCTTAATCAAAGTCAATCAGAGAAAAAGCCACAGATTTCATAATCATGAAAATAAGATAGCAGATATGGATTTCTTAACTTCGGATCCCGGTGGAGTAATCGTTTAGAACTTTCCTTTGCCGATGCGTCCCATCAGTACATACATACTCTGAGGAGTAAATGATAAATAAATGGTTACTGGAGCCTCCAAATAGGTTGGTCCACGAATGAGAATAGGCTATACCTATTGACTAATCAGTAGTTTTAATCTTTTTGTTAGTGAATCGAAAATGACTGTATAGTGGACATAGTACATAAATTCATTATTACCAGTTATAAATATCATGCAACATCTACTACTCAATTTATTTACAGATATACCAAACAATTTTATAAAGTATTTAATACTATAGTTAATTGGTAATATAAAAATATAATTAATGTTTGAGTAATCTTAATCTAATAGTATTTTGGCATAATTGTTATGCATTACCATTCCTAATAAATAATGTTTTATATCTCTATGTCTAGTTACTTACCTAAATAATCGAAACACCAAGATAAGCTACTTATTTATATCAAGAAAAAATATATGTATGCAAATTTTTTTCGGACTACTCGAATGCTGTTGGCCGCAGCTGGTCTTTACAAGTTTACCAGACGGTAGAGTGCGAGTGCAGATGGCACTCCAAACGCGCGGAAGGACTTATGGGGCGGCTGAAGGCCGATCTAGATTACTCACTTTTTACCAAACCTAATGAGTTTCATTCTTCCTACAGGTACCATGTGGCGATTGTGGCCACTGGTGATGCGGCTCGCCGCCGTATCACTGGTGGCACTTGTCCTTGCCGATTCTGGCACTGGCGGCGACACATCCGTTGCGGCACAACTGCCAGCATACAGCACCACGATAAGAACCACGGCCATGACGCGACGGCCAGAGCGCCGCCAGCGGAACCGGCGACGTACCACCACGACAACGACCACCATGGACCCAGAAGAAGAAGACGACCTGGACTTCACCACACCGATGACGACAACCACAGTGGATCCGCGCACATTCGATCACAGTGAGTATTTATTACACTAAATGTATATTGTACTAGCTGAATGAAACGGTGTTTTGCTATATACTTAAATTAAGATCTTTATTAAAAAATAGGGGTTGGTATTAGAAGGGTAAAAATTTAGACGAATAATTAATGCGACATTATAAAAAAATAACATTTTGTCAAAAAATAAAAGTGGTGCGCCCTTACCACTTAGGAGCCCTCGCCCTCTTAGTGAAAAATAAATAGTAGACGATTCTCAAACCTACTAAATATGCATATAAAATTTTAATAAAAAACAGTTAACCGTTTCGGACCAACATTGTGACACCAGAATTCTATATATAAGATATCATCATATCATAATACCATGCTTTGACTGAAAAAATATGGAATAATACGTATATACATACAAGCAATTTAATGTATGTTAAAGTTTTTTTCTTAATGAACTATTAGAAGGCTATTTCATTATATACAGCCCTCTTTGAATTATCTTTTGTTAAAAAATTTTTTTTAGATTATAATATTTTAGATCTTTTTCGTATGGCTTAATCCATAATCGCCATACTCGCAATAACTAAAATACTTTGTTGGTATACATACGTGTATAGCGCACCGTAGATAAATAGATACATATCCCGGGCTAATAGACTAAGTTGACAGTATAATTATTTATTGTATTATATTTTCAATACCAAAGTACTTTATAATAATTGTAATTATAGTTAGATTGTCGTTAATAATTCTACTTTAAATAGTGTACGTGCTCTAATTTTCTCTTATCGGCAAAAAGTCATCTAATATAACGGGGATAATTATCGTAATTATATTAATTATAAGCTCCCGAAATTTAGGCACTGTTATAAAAGGTCACGGGTTGCCTTTATAAAAAACTTAAAACAATGTTAGTACTAGGTCCTAATACTATGGAACTCAATTGCAATGATTTTGTGAAAATTAAAATTGAACATACTAACGATTTTTTACCTTATTACTGTATTGTAATACAAGGGTTTTTAGGTATTAATATCATCTAATTTAGTATGTAAAACTCATTAGCGAAACGTGTAGCCTAAATAACTTAACGGTTCAATTAATATAAGTTGAGTATTAGAACAATTATAAGATAGAATTTGCGATGTTAATTTTTGTCTAGAATTGCGATCAGGCCATTTTTTTACTATAATCCAATTTTTATCTTGATATGATACATATGGTGTGATATTTAATTAATAATGATAACATTCAGTCTCATTTTGGGCACTTTAAATAATTTTGTAACGAAGAAAGTTAATATTTTTGTAGAATTTTTTTATGTTATACATAAATCACGTTGAACTTATCTCTCTCTCCTTTAAGGGTCTTTGCAGTTTTTTGAGTGCCTGTAGTCCTAAACACTTCCAATCTACCTTATTATACCGTCTTATTGTGAGGTATAAATCATGATATAATTAAGCGCTCGTTAACTCGCACGTGGCCACCTCATTAACAGATAACTTCTGAGCATAAAAAATATATAACTACCATATATTTTTGTTCAAAAATACTTATATAAATACTAGTTGTATCAGATTAATATAAAAATATATATAATAAGTACTAATGTAAGTACTTGTATTTAAAAGTGTATAACTAAGTCGCTAATAGTATCTTCAAGCTTAATATTACTTTCAGTGTATGTATTATTTAAACGAAAATATGATTTCGTTCAAGAAATTATATACTTACAATAGGTACATTGTAGCCGACAATATGACTGTATCAAGACTTGAGCAATAAAAATGCAACTGCAATATTATGATTTATATTTCAACACGTCGAAAGTCACAATGTTACGATATATTGCCTGCCAACGACACGTGGATATCGATATTGAGACGAGCAAGCACAAAATAAATACGATTTGACAGTACGAAGACAATACTCGAAGAAAACTGCCCTCAAGTCGTGCGAGCGATCCCGTAGCAATGTCGCATTGTCGCACCGTTTTCATTTTAAGGCGCATAGTTTGCCAAGGGGCCCCTCAAGGAATGCTAGGAGCCAGACGTGAGGGCATTCAAATTGTTTGTCGGCAAGTAACGGACGAACGTAATTTGAGAAAGTAACTCTCCGGTCATCGGCGGAATTCGCTGAGTTAGCGCGGAATGCGACAGTGTCGCTCGTGAGACGGAGTTTTAATTTCACTGAATTGAAGTTAATATACGATATACACGATTATATGTACATTTGTATTCTTATATTTTATTAAATGGTATTTGGTATTCATTAGGTACATCTAGACGTTATACATATGTCAAATATGTAATAACTAAGACCTACAGTTCGCTGTAATAATTATTGATTGTTTAAATTAATATTTCTATGTTAATGTATAACCCGCACTGGTTCAAACAAGTTTTATTGAATTAAATGAATAAATTATAAAAATGTTTTATCATTGGCTGTAACAAATCGTTCTCAAAGGCTAATCACTTTATCGTTTGAGAAGTTGGCAAAATAGTGTACTTAAGCCAAAGGAGATTATTTCTCAAAGTCCGGCTGTAACTCTTCGAGATGGCGGTCCCAAACCGAAACATAGTAAAATAAACCTATATAGAATGTGGATAAGAACTTTTAACCAAGTTTACTTATTGTTTACCAAAAGTTAATGTGATCACCAAACCAAAGGAGATAAAAGTATAAAGAAAAAATGAAAAATCGCTTTTCACGCCGGCCCATCTATCTAATAAACCTAATATTGGTTCGATACGCGCTCAAGAGGCGTGAAATGACGCCCCACTCACCGCCCTAGAGGGGGGTTATACTCACCAGTATATACAGACCCCTGTTCTTCTTTTAAAGTTGTAAGAAAAAACAATTCACTATACTGAACGTAACAGCCTTAAAGCTCTCGTCAATTGGTTAACGACAGTGCTCCCCACCTCGCGGTATGCAATTAAGAACTGATAAGGCGGAAACATTTCTTTTGTTAGATCGTATATTATATAATTGTAATTACCTTTTAGGGGTGCCAAATAGTTAATATATTTAATAAATGTCTGAACAATGTACACATAATTGTTAAATTATAAGATGGTATAATGTAAACCATAAATGAAACTTGAAATTTTGCTCATAACTATTCCCATGCCAATATAACTTAACGGGGTTTGGGAGGGTATGCCGCAGTCTTCTTATGTTCTTATGTTACTTATGAAACTGACTAATTGAATAGAAACTTAAGTGTGACAGGTTTTCGTACATCAGTCTTGTTTCTAATATCAAGGTGTAAAAAATAAGAAAACCTAAACACTATATAATAATTCAAACATGATTATTTGTTAAATTTGGCCAAGTTCGTTTATTATAGGTTTATATTGGTTATTTACACATTATCTGCTTTCCCATAGCTTATTAAATAGTATAAGATACATGAATATTTCAAATCATTCAAATCACGGTTTGCCAACAATTAATATTATTACTATCACTGTCGCTAATTTTATTATCGACAGACACATTTACTCATACATATTTTGAAATACACCCAAAGATTCACACATAAATACAAACACATACACTCACACATACGTCTAACAGAATAACACTGTAAAACTTCAGTTAGTTACCTACTCTACTAAAAATAGCAAATAAATCTTATTTCTACTTATGAAATGTTTACAAAAACATTATTTATATAATATTATGAACAATATAAATCCAATACGTTTCAAAACTTTAAGGATATATAAGTAGTAAAACAAGTAAGTAAGTAGTAAAACAAAAGGCATAGGTGTGTTGTTTTTATAATTTTCGGTAGTATTTCACTACTGCAAGAATGAAGAATAAAATATAAACAGGGTATATTTTTCTTATTACGTACTACAGTGTATAATAATTGACATAACCATCAATTCATTCCTAAAACGTGAAGAAGCATAATTGATTTAAAAACAAGAAAAATACACTAAAAATATAGGTACTAGAAACTGCCCTTAAACATGTCGTCAAATTTATTATAGAATCAGGTAATTTACTATAGACATATAGACATTCAATTTAAATCACCCATCACCGTGTATATATTTTTATTCTATGTTTAGATACTTTTGAAAATAATTATTCATTTCAGTTTGATAGAAACATCATCCTTATTACAGAAATATAGTCGGCGGCGGCACCCGATCTATTTGTCCGTCCAGAATAGAGTGAACTCACTGATAAGCTGAATACATTAATAATGTACTAAAAACCTTAGAGGCAATGTATTAACTGTAATGAAAAATGCAATAAAATTAATTATTTAAGTAATGCGTTCCTTTAAATACAGTAAATTTAACAATTACATTGAATTTAGCAATTTCTCTCTATATACAATAAGGCAAAATGTGTCTAAAATGGATAAATTACATATATAACAATAAAATGATTTGACTGAAGATTCACGATGTCAATATCTTTCAGATTATATAGTTTTAATATCATTATAAGTTCCATAATCCTCATACCATATTAAACGTTCTACAAATGGAACCATAAAATGCAATATATTTTGCTGATCATACTTAAATTCGACACAATGAATATTTTTAATAAACTTAATAATAAATTCCATTATTTTTACTAAAATTTAATGCAACATACATTAAATACATAAATTCACACGAATGCAATACTGAAAAACGATTTTTATATCATCCTTGGAACTACACAAATAGGCAAATTCTGGAAGAGTAACCAACGAGATTTATAAAATATTACTTATACTATGCCTCGAGAAAATATCAATAAAAAATACCACCATAATAATATATGCAATAATTACCACAATTTGTATAATAGTAAAAATTTTAACTGAGTTATAAATATCGTGAGTAATTTTAAATATATTTTATTTATATTGGACTACTTACTGGTTTTAGGACTGGTTTTTTCGGAATATAATGACACCCAACAAGACGTATGGTTGTACTATTCTAAACAAAGATATAAGAGTAAATATATCCTTTCAAAATTATCATAACTGTACTACAGTTATT